CAAACAGGGCGTTAGACGAGGGTCATATATACAACACATTTTGCACATATTGTCTGAGATAATCTTCTTTTCTGTAGATTCAGAGTTCACAAATGAGTAAAACAACTGGATTAAAGCATAGAAACACAAATATTGACACATAAAATCCTGTCAGATAGAAAGTCAGAATGCCACTTATGCATCAAAATTGAAAAAGCTATGAAATGCTTATTTTGACCATAAAATGCCCAAATTGGTAATTTTTGCAGAAATTCTATCAAATAAAAGTTTAAATTCTTTAGTTTTATGCTATTTGACAAATTGACACCATCAAATCATTCAGGGAAGTTGCCAAAGTACAGATTCTATATTTCCTGATTTCACCTCTTAGGTCCGAGTACACAGTTATTTCGTAGTGCATTTCTTTTAGACAATAAATGAAAATTAAAAAAATCCCACCTGCGCTTTCTCAATAATATTTTTACAGTGTGTTGTACTACTTTTGGGACAAATTATATCAAAATTATAGAAAACTTCATCGGCTCTAACTCAAAATATGGACAATTTCATGTTAAGGGGGTCTTCAAATCTTTTGACAGCTTCCGAAGTGCTAATTTTTAACATTTTTCAGCTGGACCAAATCACTACTTTACTTTGAAATTTATGACCCAAATTTTTTTACAGTGTCATTTCATCCCCCTACTTGCTAATTGAGTCATAAAACATGGAGAAATAAATTTGGAAGGGGTATAAAAAAAATTGGCAAGTAACACACTGTCCACACTAGGGACTATATTCGTGGACAACGAAAATCAAAGGACGATAACTGTGTACTCGGACCTAATAGGGTAGAAAAAATTGACCAATCTTTATGAAACTTGGTATGACCATAGCTTAATTAATTATAAGACTGCTTACAAAGTTTCATGGCACTAGAATATATTTTATAGACAATATGACTAATTCTATATTCTACTTTGCGTGTTAAATTTAGACGTTAAAATTGAAATATTTCAACTATCAACATTTGGGGCTTAAAAAATTAAAAGATTGCAAAAAAATACTTTTGAAATGCCTTAATATATAATATTTTATGTATTAAAAGTAATAGAGTACTCATTTGATTTATCAGACTTATCACAATTATTTAAAAGTCAAATTTATATGAGCCTGTGCCAAAAAATGGAGGTTTTTCAATGAAGGGAGGCCTTACATGAAGATGTAATATTTTCCAGCAATTTTAAATTTGTAAAGCTTTTTGGTTATAGATAATCCTTACATATGTATTTAATGTACTTTAAATGGAAAGAAAACTTACAAATAACACATCATATTAGTTTAAAAGGGTCTTAGGCCAAGTAAGACTGAAAATAATTTAGGGTCAATTTAGGCCGTAGCACATATTTACATTTAAAAATGCATATTGAAGCTATAGGAAATAAAAATTTGTGTCTTTTCTATCATTTCTATACTCAGGTGACATGATACAATAAATCTGAGCACAAAAAGACTCTTGAATTCAACTTTTTTTGCAGACAGTATGGTCTGATACAAAGATTTTTCACTTTTTAGTGAAAAACATGCATGCAATTTTAGTCCCAACAGGCTTATATTTGAACCACTTGCTATCCTACAGAAGAAAAGAAAGATATTATGTGACATGAAACAGGTACAAAAGACATTGTTAAGTGCTTTTTATACAAATTTAGTGAGGTCTTTATTATGGACTTCAACTTTTATGTTCCAAGCTCCTTACATTTAACTTGATCCAAACAGGGCGTTAGACGAGGGTCATATATACAACACATTTTGCACATATTGTCTGAGATAATCTTCTTTTCTGTAGATTCAGAGTTCACAAATGAGTAAAACAACTGGATTAAAGCATAGAAACACAAATATTGACACATAAAATCCTGTCAGATAGAAAGTCAGAATGCCACTTATGCATCAAAATTGAAAAAGCTATGAAATGCTTATTTTGACCATAAAATGCCCAAATTGGTAATTTTTGCAGAAATTCTATCAAATAAAAGTTTAAATTCTTTAGTTTTATGCTATTTGACAAATTGACACCATCAAATCATTCAGGGAAGTTGCCAAAGTACAGATTCTATATTTCCTGATTTCACCTCTTAGGTCCGAGTACACAGTTATTTCGTAGTGCATTTCTTTTAGACAATAAATGAAAATTAAAAAAATCCCACCTGCGCTTTCTCAATAATATTTTTACAGTGTGTTGTACTACTTTTGGGACAAATTATATCAAAATTATAGAAAACTTCATCGGCTCTAACTCAAAATATGGACAATTTCATGTTAAGGGGGTCTTCAAATCTTTTGACAGCTTCCGAAGTGCTAATTTTTAACATTTTTCAGCTGGACCAAATCACTACTTTACTTTGAAATTTATGACCCAAATTTTTTTACAGTGTCATTTCATCCCCCTACTTGCTAATTGAGTCATAAAACATGGAGAAATAAATTTGGAAGGGGTATAAAAAAAATTGGCAAGTAACACACTGTCCACACTAGGGACTATATTCGTGGACAACGAAAATCAAAGGACGATAACTGTGTACTCGGACCTAATAGGGTAGAAAAAATTGACCAATCTTTATGAAACTTGGTATGACCATAGCTTAATTAATTATAAGACTGCTTACAAAGTTTCATGGCACTAGAATATATTTTATAGACAATATGACTAATTCTATATTCTACTTTGCGTGTTAAATTTAGACGTTAAAATTGAAATATTTCAACTATCAACATTTGGGGCTTAAAAAATTAAAAGATTGCAAAAAAATACTTTTGAAATGCCTTAATATATAATATTTTATGTATTAAAAGTAATAGAGTACTCATTTGATTTATCAGACTTATCACAATTATTTAAAAGTCAAATTTATATGAGCCTGTGCCAAAAAATGGAGGTTTTTCAATGAAGGGAGGCCTTACATGAAGATGTAATATTTTCCAGCAATTTTAAATTTGTAAAGCTTTTTGGTTATAGATAATCCTTACATATGTATTTAATGTACTTTAAATGGAAAGAAAACTTACAAATAACACATCATATTAGTTTAAAAGGGTCTTAGGCCAAGTAAGACTGAAAATAATTTAGGGTCAATTTAGGCCGTAGCACATATTTACATTTAAAAATGCATATTGAAGCTATAGGAAATAAAAATTTGTGTCTTTTCTATCATTTCTATACTCAGGTGACATGATACAATAAATCTGAGCACAAAAAGACTCTTGAATTCAACTTTTTTTGCAGACAGTATGGTCTGATACAAAGATTTTTCACTTTTTAGTGAAAAACATGCATGCAATTTTAGTCCCAACAGGCTTATATTTGAACCACTTGCTATCCTACAGAAGAAAAGAAAGATATTATGTGACATGAAACAGGTACAAAAGACATTGTTAAGTGCTTTTTATACAAATTTAGTGAGGTCTTTATTATGGACTTCAACTTTTATGTTCCAAGCTCCTTACATTTAACTTGATCCAAACAGGGCGTTAGACGAGGGTCATATATACAACACATTTTGCACATATTGTCTGAGATAATCTTCTTTTCTGTAGATTCAGAGTTCACAAATGAGTAAAACAACTGGATTAAAGCATAGAAACACAAATATTGACACATAAAATCCTGTCAGATAGAAAGTCAGAATGCCACTTATGCATCAAAATTGAAAAAGCTATGAAATGCTTATTTTGACCATAAAATGCCCAAATTGGTAATTTTTGCAGAAATTCTATCAAATAAAAGTTTAAATTCTTTAGTTTTATGCTATTTGACAAATTGACACCATCAAATCATTCAGGGAAGTTGCCAAAGTACAGATTCTATATTTCCTGATTTCACCTCTTAATAGGGTAGAAAAAATTGACCAATCTTTATGAAACTTGGTATGACCATAGCTTAATTAATTATAAGACTGCTTACAAAGTTTCATGGCACTAGAATATATTTTATAGACAATATGACTAATTCTATATTCTACTTTGCGTGTTAAATTTAGACGTTAAAATTGAAATATTTCAACTATCAACATTTGGGGCTTAAAAAATTAAAAGATTGCAAAAAAATACTTTTGAAATGCCTTAATATATAATATTTTATGTATTAAAAGTAATAGAGTACTCATTTGATTTATCAGACTTATCACAATTATTTAAAAGTCAAATTTATATGAGCCTGTGCCAAAAAATGGAGGTTTTTCAATGAAGGGAGGCCTTACATGAAGATGTAATATTTTCCAGCAATTTTAAATTTGTAAAGCTTTTTGGTTATAGATAATCCTTACATATGTATTTAATGTACTTTAAATGGAAAGAAAACTTACAAATAACACATCATATTAGTTTAAAAGGGTCTTAGGCCAAGTAAGACTGAAAATAATTTAGGGTCAATTTAGGCCGTAGCACATATTTACATTTAAAAATGCATATTGAAGCTATAGGAAATAAAAATTTGTGTCTTTTCTATCATTTCTATACTCAGGTGACATGATACAATAAATCTGAGCACAAAAAGACTCTTGAATTCAACTTTTTTTGCAGACAGTATGGTCTGATACAAAGATTTTTCACTTTTTAGTGAAAAACATGCATAACTGACTCTATTTTAAAAGAGTAAAATCCATTTTATTCCTTTTTATAATCTTTTTCAATGTTTACTATAAATGAATGCAGATTTCATAAAGAAACACACAACTTTTACAATATTCCATGTTTTTATTCTTAAAATTGATAAAACTTAAATTTAATGTTCGGGAAATTTCCCAAAATATATGAAAGTTTTAAAATATTAGTGGTAAATATGTATGAGACACTTGTTGTTATTCGGGAAATGTCCCGAAATCATTTTCAACATTATTATTTATAACATATTAAAAATTGTTGGAAAAGCGTTTTGACAAACAGATCTGAAAAACATTTCGGGAAAAATCCCGACAAAAATAAACTAAGTACAAAATGTATAACACAGATGTCTTCAAATATTTGGGGATTTATCCCGCAAATCTATGTATATGCTAGAACTCATGACTAATAATTTCTTTCACATTTCGGGAAAAATCCCGAAAATATAAATCTATTATCAGGCACACACTTGGTGCATAGTTTTTTTTTTACCCATTTCGGGAAAAATCCCGAAATAAAATCTACAAGCAAAAATTATGCTACAGATTTCTTAAACATATTGGGAAAAATCCTGAAAAACAAAATCTTTCAGATTTTACAACACAGAATTTTGATACATATAGAAGGTTTTTATGTAAACATGAAATATAATGTTTGCTCTCTATTGCATCTCTTTTGCAACATGCTATATTTGACTAAGTGCATATTACAGGTTAAACATAGAAAATAAAATTCCATTAAAAAAACTTGTTTTAAAAATTATTTCTTAATTAAAAAGACTAAGATTGATGATAGGTATGGTATTTAATAATGCATATATATGCAATTACTACGCGGCAAGCGCTAGTTAACTAATAAACTCACATATAGAAATACAATCAGGACAATGTTTTATAAATAGTGGTTGCATTAAAAGGAGCTAAAAGGTACCAACAAGATTTGCAGGATGTATACATGCCTATACAAATAAGATGATATTGCATTATTACATTTATACCAAAAAGACACAATAATTTGAAAGATATCAGAAAGTATGCAGTCCTTTAAACTATGTTTGGCATTCTTTTCCTCTTGTTTATCTTCATATCTGTGTCTTTTAAGACTCAAGTCAATTTGTCCTCCAAGATTTCTATGTATCCTACAAAGAAAAGTCAATTCAAGTTCAATATTTTAAATTAAGTCCTTCAGGCATATTATTCATGATTTTTTTATCCGGCATATTTTGTTCTTTCTTATAATCATGATAATAGATGAATTTGTTATCACAGGTCCTTTCATAGCTTACTCATGTTACTGTATGTCATTTGTTTTGTTCAATAATTGAAGCCTTACCACACTGATGATATTTAAATTTTGTTCAGATTAGGGCAGTTGTCTCCTTAGCTATCATACTGCATCATTTTTTCTAATCTGGTGTTTTCATTTTTTGATATATATATATATATATATGTGATACTTTACCGATTATTACCTACAAACAAATGGGGCAAACTGGAAAAGTTTTAAAAAATAAAACATTTTTTTTTTTACTTTTAGAGTTAATTATCATTAGGATTAGCAATCATACTATAGATATCTTCTTCTTTTAAAGGGGGGCAAAGTTCTAATCCTATTAATTTAATTATGTTACTTTACCAATAATTGTCTGAAAACAAACAAGGCAAATTTAAATGGTTTTAAGAAAAATTTGTAAGGGTTCCAAAGAACACAGTGTAACGCCTGTGATTGCTGCTGTCACTGTAAAATTGACTTTCAAAGTGAGCACAATTTTACTTGAAAAGACTCAACATAATCTAGACTGTACTTAACTGTACTTGACTTTGGTCTACAATTTAACCTAAAGAGTCTAAGAGTACTTGATAATCTTGGTAAAGTCAGAATATGGTCTTGTCAAATGCTCAACCAGTCCCGACCAGTCTCTACTTAGTCTTGACCCAGTCTCCACCTGTCTTGACCTTTAAATTTAGTCTTGACTGGTCTTAAATCAGTCCAACTATATCAATTATGTATTGAACAGGTTATTTTATAATATATGGTTTATTGCTTTCAAACTTAAGGATTTAATTTTAATAGGTATAAAAGCTACAATTTTTAGTTTGAACTAAATTTCAGGCAGTCAACTTTAAAAATTTCTATAACTATTTCAAATCAACTTGGATTTAAAAAAAATATCTAATTTAAAAGCTCACAATCATCATTTTTGCTTTTTAAAGTTTCTATTTTCCATAAAAAAAACCAAACAAACCCATCACTGACAGGCAATAACTCAACTGATGATTTTGGCCATGTGACTTATATGTAGGTCTTATGGTGTTAATCATTTTTACTATTCAAAGTTTCCATCTCTTTACTATAGTTTTCAATAGGGCTAACAACAAAAAAGATGTGTTTTGATTGCCCTTCCAACCCTAATTTATCGGCTCCGACACCAAAAAAGTCAAAAATCGATGTTTAACAAAAAATTAAATGGGGAATGTGTCCATGGACCACAGATGATGCCCCCGCTTGCATATCATATAAAGTTATAAAGGGACATAACTGAAGAACAGTAAAAGTGACTTTATCAAAAACACTTGATCTCAGTTTAGTGGTAACAGGTATTGCGTATAAGTTCCATAAAATTTGGTTGATGCAAACTTAATTTAGAGAACGGAAACAAAAAAATCAGCAATTTTTCCATTTTCAAAGGGGCATAACTCTAGAAAATTAAGTGACAACTCCAAAATTCAAACTTGATCTGTATTTTGTGGTAATAAGTATTGTGTACAAGTTTCATAGCATTTGGTTGAGGCAAACTAAAGTTAGTGAATGGAAATGAAAAATTCAGCACTGTTTCAATTTGTGAAGGGGCATAATTCTAGAACAGTTAAAGTGACCCCCTAAAATTCAAACTTGATCTATATTTTGTGATTTATAAAAAGCATTGTGTATAAGTGTCATTGCATTTTGTTGAGGCAAACTAAAGTTAAAGAACGGAAACTATAAATATAAGCATCTTTTTCAATTGTAAAGGGGCATACCTGCAGAACAATTAAAGTAATGCCCCCTTAATTCATACTTGATCTGTATTTTGTGGTAATACGCGTTGTGTATAAGTTTCATAGCATTTGGTTGAGGCAAACTAAAGTTAAAGAACGGAAACGAAAAATTCAGCAATTTTTTTGTTTGTAAAGGGGCATAACTCTAGAACTGTTAAACTAAATGACGCCACCAAAATTCAAACTTGATCTGTGTTTTGTGGTAATAATTAAGCATTGTGTATCAGTTTCATAACATTTGGGTGAGGCAAACTGAAGTTAGAGAACGAAAACCAACTTTGGGAAGTATGGAAAGACTTACGTACAGACAGACAAGGGTAAAACTACTGCGGGGGCATAACAAAGGTCTTCCTTATCATGTCCCTAATTTACACTATTTGTGAACATGAATGCTAATAAACAACTGGCCAGCTAATGTGTGCTGGCAGTACGCTTGATTATACAAATGCAACATTCAAAAAAGAAGATGTGGTATAATTGCCAATGTGACAACTCTCCACAAGAGCCCAAATGACACAGAAATTAACAACTATGCCTGCTTTACTTATGATTGAAAATATGACGCTTTTACTACAATTATCACTTAAACTAGCTTGATCCATAAATGATCCATGAAAATAAAGGCATGGTCAGTTTAACCCGTCAGGCAAAAACAGCTTATAATCATTTCATACACAAATATAGTGGCCTTATTGCTACATAAGTGTCTGAGAGACAGAGTATTTTATTTGTGAAACAGCACATTTTGTTAGACATAACATATTTTTGTACACTTACAAATTTTCAAACTTACCTTTCAAATCTTCCCATATTTAGACTAAGAAAGACCTTGAACTTCACAGAGAATTAAATCAGAGACCTTTCTCTTTCTATTTGTCTAGGCTAACTGCATGTCCTATGGATATGTCAATCTGAAATAAGAACAGAATGACATAAGACTTCATGCTGAAAATGTTTATCATCCTTAGCTTTTTTTTTACACATGAACTGCTTGAAGGCACATTAATTAAAAATGGTGATTTGCACTAATGCAGGTGGATATTAGATTACTTTCTATGAAATTTTGTCTATGAAATCAGACCAGAGATATGATTTTCACCTAAATAGGTGGATATTGGATCAATTTCTATGAAATTATGTCTTTACTAAGAAAAAGAACAAAGTTGAAAATAGATATATATAATATACCATTCATTACAAATTATCATTCGAATTCTTAACATGCTTAAGCAGAAAACTTCAAAAGTATTCAGGAAATACTGGCATCTTATTAAAACAGATTCTACAATAGGTGACAAATTCCATAAAAACCTATTAGTGAAACAGCTATAAAATAATTTATATGAACCTAATAGTTCCTTCTAATGTTTAACTGTGCAGAACTAATTAATGACATTAATGTAAACAACACATGTAAACTGGTATTCTTATGAATACACTTCCTTACTATGAAAAACTTAATTCAACCGGTTTATACATCTATGATTCAACCATGGAAGTAAATGAAATATAATACTTCCATGATTCAAACAATTTAAAAACCAAAAAACCCAAAAAAAATTTTGGTAAAATATTCTTTCAAGGGCAATAACTGCTTTAAATGATCAATTGTCAATTAAAATAAGGAAATAATGCAAGTCCTATTCCCAGATTGTGCTGAGGTTCTAAGTTTTGTATTTTATGTATGAATTCTGTCTTTCTCTGTTTTTCTCTTGATTATCCAAGTTTTTAATTTTGTACATTATTTGGCCTTTTAAACTTTTGTTATTCGGAAGTCACTTATGAGTCTTTTGCAGACGAACTCTTGTCTGACCTAAAAACAATTATTAGGGTATTTGTCATTTATGTGTTTATGGCTTGATTTATTAAGGTCCAGATAGGGGTTCTGTATATCTTTATCCTTTAATACATGTATATTGGGTTGTTTTTCTTTAATCTTTTGTTAATTTTTTTTAATCTCTATTCTTTATATTTCAGCACACTATTATTCTCTAATATTTATTTTGGTTTCCTACTTTTCCCTGTTTATTATTTTTTTTTACCTTTATTCTGCACATTTTGCCCGTTATTCTCTATTTTGTAAACCCCATCTAAAATCTCATCCACGTCAATTTTTTTTTTCAAGTGGCATACTCATTATACTTGTATGCAAAATTCTTGAATTTTAAATTGTAGGCAATTATCAACTCGTGAAATTCAGAAACTAATTCTTAATACTTTTTTTTGCATTTAAATCAACAACAATAATGTGTCCATAGCACAAAGATGACCCACTGGTACTATCATTTTTATATGTTCAGTGAACCATGAAATTGGGGTCAAAACTCTAATTTGGCATTAAAATAAGAAAGATCATATCATAGGGAACATGTACTAAGTTTCAAGTTGATTGGACTTCAACTTCATCAAAAACTTAAACTTGAAGCCGGAAAGACGGATGGAGGAACAGACGCATACTCATGACTCATCAGAAAGCATAATGCCCAAAGGTGGGACATAAAACATCTTTAGGCAAATATCCTTAGGTAACAGATTATTAAATTTATCACTAATGCATATATCAATATAAAAAGTTTTAATTGATATATTAGAATTTTTTTAGATTATAAAACATCCTTAGTTTCTGTATGTCTGTGGTATGCAGTGGCAGTACCAGAATTTTCAAAAGGGGCCCGCTCAAACTTGCTTCAGTGTTTCGATCCCTCAAAAAATTAATCAACCAAATTTTTTTCAAAAAGGGGTGCCCGGGCAGGGTACTGCTATTTTGTATGTTGCGTGTTGCATGTAGATAAAGTTAATTTTTTTGTACATTAGGGAAGTCTTTTCTTTCTTTTTTGTTTTTTGATTGCTATTTCTATGACGTCATTCACAATTATATAACAATACCTTCATTACATGATAGATGAATGGTGGTTTGATTTTTTTTCTGTCATGAGAACAAATTTATGTATTTTATATATGTTTTTACCAGTGTCTGTAAATTTAACTTTTTTTTATGTTAAAGTAACAGAATCTGAAAAATGAAGGCTAAAAATTTTTAATATTCATTTGTTAAATTTACATGAGGTTTAATGTTATAACTGAATGTACATGAGTCATATTTATTCTGTACTATATTATGCTTGGTAATAAATGGACCAAACATGAAACTATATGATGACATACATATGTATATATATATAGTGTATCCTTCAATTCATTTGAAATTTCTAATTAACCTATCAACAAAAGTCATCAAAACTTGGATTCTAGAGACTGATCTATAGTAGTATTAATTAGATGATATGGGATAATTTGATAGAATTTTATGACCTGTTAACATGGTTAATTATTTTCAAGATTTTCTCTCAACATAGAGATTTTTATATTTGGCTGAAATAAATAAAAAATTTATCAAGCTAAAGGTGAAATGATCTCTTATAATTGAATTGATTCAAATTTCATATATACATATTTGTTATCTACAAATTCCATCATATATATACAAATACATATAGTTAAAGAGAGACACATTCATTAGCATAGGCGTATCGAATGGAAGTAGCTAATCAGAGGCGGATCCATTTTTTCCGAAAGGAGGACAGGCCTGCTTCATTTTTCTAATCTGTAAGTGTGGGGGTCTTTATCTTGGAAATCTGTATGAAATCAGGATTTTGGGGTCAAATTTGGTTCTGCCCTCTCCAACTTACAGTTAAAAAATGTAGCGGGCATGTCCCAGTCCCCCTCCCTTTTCGGAAAGTCATCACTATACATACTCAACTTTTTCACATTTTAACATTTAAAACAATATTGTTAATATTGACCAGGGCTTGGATACTTTCTAATATGAATCAATTTAAAAGTAGAATGTAGTTCCAGATCACACAACTTGAGGAACAGGATATAAAAACAACGAAATCATATAATATAGGGCTAGTAATGAGAGATGATTAGAGTTGATTCACAACCATGACAGCTGCACAATACATTAAATTTAACAGTCAATGGGTCAGTCTGTTAAAGTACATAAAAACAATTAATTAGTAATATCAACACTCCTGAAAAAAGCAAATTATTGTCAACAATTAAAAACTGATAAGAGATCAAATATAGTTTACAAACTTAAGCTCAATGACAATATTTTAAACTTTAATTAAAGAACCTTAGTGAGCGACCTCACATACCCCACGTCCCCACATTGTCACTGGAAAAATAAAATAACTGTAAGAAAAAAAAATTGTATAAAAAAAAAAAAATTGAATCCTAATTTCCTGTCGATATGCACATCTACCTAGTATGTCCTTATTATCTGAAAAGGTTTCATGAAATTCTGTTGTGTGGTTTGAGAGGAGTTGCCATGACAAAAGGTTGCAGTAGTATATTGGGCAAATAAGTTCAAAGGGGCGTAACTCCTGGAAAAAAAATTGAATCGTAATTTCCTGTCGATATGCACATCTATGTAGTATATGTCCTTATTATCTGAAAAGGTTTCATGAAATTCTGTTGTGTGGTTTGAGAGGAGTTGCGATGACAAAAGGTTGCAGTAGTATATTGGGCAAATAAGTTCAAAGGGGCGTAACTCCTGGAAAAAAATTGAATCGTAATTTCCTGTCGATATGCACATCTACGTAGTATGTCCTTTTTATCTGGAAAGGTTTCATGAAATTCTGTTGTGTGGTTTCAGAGGAGTTGCCATGACAAACTGTTGCAGTAGTACATTAAAGTCAATAAGTTCAAAGGGGTGTAACTCCTAGAAAAAAAAATTGAATCGTAATTTCCTGTCGATATGCACAACTACATAGTATGTCCTTATTATCTAAAAAGGTTTCGTGAAATTCTGTTGTATGGTTTGAGAGGAGTTGCAATGACAAGAAATAGGACTGACGGACTGACGGACGGACAGACGGACGGACGGACAGATGGACAGACGGACAGACAGACGGGTCAAAAACATTATACCCTCCGCAACTCGTTGCGTGGGGTATAATAATATGAAAGACAGATATTGATAGAAGGCAGCAGACTCCATGATGTAAGTCAAAGACATTTTAAAGGGTGAATTTAAACGATGACTGATGAGAAATTTTACAAACAGTTTTTGTATATCCAAATTAAAATTTTTCCAATTTTACAAACAGTTTTTGTATATCCTAATTAAAAATTCTTCCAATTTTACAAAAATTGTAAAAGAAATAATCGAAGATCAATGTAACACGCAACATGCAACATGCAACACACAACATGCATACTAGTCAATTTCGCCCGGGCCCACTAGCCCCATCCCCTTAATCCTCCTCAAAATAAAACAAAACAGAAAATATAAACCAATTATTGCCATTAAGTATGAAATTATTACTTACAATATTTTTTTTCAAAATTCTCTCCCTGTAAGGCTGTATGTCATTATGAACATATAATACTGTGTATTCTAATCCTTCTTATGATTTCACTTTTATTTACACTAATAGACCTACTACCATTATACTTAATTATGTCCATTGAATCAATGTGGTGAGTATATATATATATGTATAATATTTACTTGTGTTTTTATGTTTTTTAAGCATAATACACACAACATGTACAAGTAAATGTGACCTGTTTCTATCCAAAGATCTAGGAAGACATAAAATGAATTTCTCTTTTATCTCATTGGTTACTATATGGATTCATATTGATGTCATGACCTCATTACTTGGACATCATAAAATGTGTAGAGGAATATAAAATGTTGAAATTCATCAAGAATACACTACTCTTATTACTATCTTTATTACTATTGTTTTTGTGGTGATTTTGTGAAGAACCATGCAGTGGAGGAAAACAGTTCAAAGAAGAAAATGGCAAGTTAATTCACTTTGAAGTTTAGATACAGTAATATAAATTATATAAAAAGATAATTACAATGATTCTCTATCAAATATTTCTTTAA